TATATCTAAATAGATAAAAAGAAAAATATATTATATAATTAGAGAGTTCTCACTCCCTCTAGGATGTCCACCTAAGCCAAAAAAAAATTACAATAAATTTTATTTTAAATATTCTATTAATTCATCTTAATATGTATTGATTGTTATCCATAACTACTAAAAAACTGAACTAAATAAAAAAACGAAAATAAGCAAAAAAAATGATAAAAAGTAGTACATTCAAAAATAATTTGAGCATTTTATTGCTGTAAATACAAAATTACAACAAAAAATATATTTCATGTATATTTTACATCATTTAAGAGTAATAAAAAAATTAATAGTTTATGATAAAGATGAATGTTTACATATTTTAATGAAAATATGTAAAATAAATATAATATAAATATAAGAGCAAATGAATAAAAATGTAGATAAACGACATGAGAGAATCAAGGAAAAAAAATTATATTAATGGTTAAGTATCGTAGTTGAGTATCAAACGATGGTTAGAAAGCGGAAAGTCCAAAGAGAAAGATAACATCTTATTTCACTAAAAAGATATTGAACAATATCACTAATGAGAACTACGGTGAAATTTTTGAATATATAATTTCGTTGAAATATTATATTTGATTTTTGGAAGTATAGAAAAATTCTAATTAAAAAAGCGGTGAGGGATTAAATAAAAAACTCAAAACTATATGTACATATATATATATATATAAAGTCTCAAACAAACATATTTATTTTTAAATAGGCACTATCGATATTGAAATGAATAAATATCTCATATTTTCATATATTTCAATTCAAATTATATACTCCATCATATCTATACAAATTAGTTGCTATGTTAATTATAAAGATAAAAGTACTTGATTAACTAAAAAAATTTGCCACCAAGTTTAACAAAATTGCAAGAGAAAATATTCTAGTTATTGTAATTACATAGTTAGTTAAAGAGATAAAAGAATTTTAACTTTGTTTCTTAATTTATATAATTATGTTTAAAATGACATTTTTCAGAAACAGAGGGAGTAAGTTACAGTATGAATATTCCTTTTAAAAGTTATTTATT